CCCTCACTACAGCTTTTTAATGGTACATCAGTTAATATAATTTTCCCAGCCTCTGGATAGCTGAGGCATGTATATTTCTGAAGACATTCTCCACTTCTACACAGCCAAAGGCTTTATCATTTTTAGAGTAACAGTGAGAACTTTTTTCATCAAGAGGTCCCCACCTGCTGTGTTTCTGTAGGGATCCTTCTGGGATTGCTGAGAGCGCATAATCTTCTGCATCGGGGTGACTGAATGAACCAATCATCGCCCATGCAAGAGACATGCAGTAGCATGAGTCACCCACAATGTTGGTTGATTAGAAGGAAATAAAGGTAGCATAGTGAACATCTTGTTTTGTGGGAAAGTATTTCATTTTAGCTGAATTCATTTACTTCTTATGCCACATAAATGAGTTCTCTCACAGCGGAGTTTGATAACGACAACTAGCATGAATAGGCACAACAGCATCAGATGAGAATGCAACTGAAATGTTGAACATACATTTCAAACAGGCCAGCAGAAAAGCAGCTGTTGCCATCAACAGGGATACACACACGGAGATGTAAAGGATGATCATAGATGCTCTCGAAGAGAGGCAACCTATATGATTGGCAATCAGCACAGATGAAGGCACACCTGTAAATAACCAACAGAAAGCAAAGTGCCGATTATATTATGAGATGGCCGGTACTGGAAAGCAGAGCAAATGTATATAAGCAGAAGGAGGCATGTGTACAAAAGTGAGAATACTGGAAAATACATAAGCCTGAGTAAGTTACCCCGCTAATATGGGAAAGGGACACTGTGGGGTGTGAAAGGAAAGATGGGGTGAGATGGGTCAGTATAGTGCTACCCTGGCCATATGTCATCAACCTTTAGACCTTTTAAACCCGTTCTTCTAGGAGGACAGAGGGGTTTAAAAAATCAATCAGGAGTTCTGGTTTATAATCTATAGAAGACAGTATACAGTTCAGCAGAGAGAATAAGAGCCACCTAGACTCCAAAGTGCTTCAGGATAAAAATTAAACATCTAGAAGACTAGCAACAATTTCACAATCAAATATTCATAAGATCATCATCTCATTCCTCTGGTAGCACCATTAATAATATAGCAATTGTTTAAATAGGCATAAATAGGACCATGTGGGGGATAATTGAGGCCATAAGCATTTCTCCCCTGCACATTGAGACTCTTTAATCTTTCTCAAAGCAGGAAAAAAACCCATGATGTCTAAATTTGAATCCCAAGATCCTTTTGTGTTTTTAAGAATCTCATACCTGACTTTACTTTCATTGCTGCTGTTCTGTTTCGAGGTATGACATTCTCATAATTTCCTTCAGAATCGTCGAGATTGCTTCTGAAGACTAGAGAAAGAAACACGGCTAAGCTCAGCTCTTCTTTTTTTTAACCTTCATGATTGCATAAATGGCTATTACAGGAAAATATTTATGGTTAATCAGCCAGTATAAAGTGTGAACTGTAAACATTTCTGAGGACCTGCCACAGCACTGGATTTTTTCCTGCCATCTCCCATGACCTTGTTTTCTACTGTCTCCAGCCCAGGCAGTTGCACTTTAGTTGTGTTTTCTCTTCAGCTGGCAGCATCCAATGACAGCCCCCTATTACGTTGGAGGTGAAGTCAGGCGAGCAGTAATGGGCAGATTGGAGAGGGGCTTAATGGCTGTTTCAGGCTGACGTGAGCCGACCCCTCACCTCTAGCCTGCCACCGTTCTGCTCGAAAGAGTTGGATGCAGCAGGCTGTACAATGATCCTTTGGGTCTGTGTACGTGAGCACAATCTTGTTCCACCTGCATGCAAAGAGTTCCCTGCCGCAAGCAGATATCTACCCCTGTAACGCACTGCAAAGCCCTACTGCACTCCTGGCTATTCCTGAAGTTGACTTTAAAGATTCCACTTGCAGCGGGCTGGCAAAAGGACCAGGTTGATGCTCAGTCCAGACTAGGGCTTTTTCCTTTTAGGGACTGTTCTCTCCTCACTAGGCCCTGGGCCTTTCCTGTTTTCCCAGAGGCTTGGATGCCTTTATCCCTTGCCCTCACTTCCCCTATTCTCTCCCCTTTGACACTAGGATTTTTTAATTATTATTCTTTTGGTGCCTTCGAGTCAGTGTTGACTCCTGGCAACTGCCTGGGAAAGTCCCTGCAGTTTTCTTGTTAAGATTTCAGAGGTGGTTTGCCATTGCCTCCTTCCTGGGGCTGAGAGAGACTGGCACAAGGACATCCAGCTGGCTTTGGGCCTAAGGCGGGAGCAGAACTCATGGTCTCCCAGCTTCTAGCCTGGTACCTTAACCACTATACCAGTGTTGTCCAAACTTGGCCACTTTAAGATGAGTGGACTTCAACT